AAACAATGTTTACTCACGATACAGCCATTTTTAAAGAGACAGATGTTCGTTCTTTCATAAAAATCGTTTCAAAAGGCATAGAACGTCCAATAATATCTCCAAATGTTCATCATGACAGTACCAAAACAATGCTCTAACATGAAGTATAATACAATTCCTCCCAGAGGCATCAGGGGGTCAAAATTATTACAGGCTCAGGTGTCCGAATGAATAAAACTGTACGCATAATTGATAATACTTACGACAGTAATCAAAGTACCGTCTTGCATTTTGAAAACCGACATTTAAGTTCATTTACAGGGAATGATTAGTTTATCAAACCAACTTTATCAATCCCTTTTTGTTTATTATTTAGAAAGCTCAGAAGGATGGAAATGGGAAGAGAATTCGATAGTTCATCACGAAAAATTGATTAAGTTGCAAGAATATGGAAAAAGTTATCCAAAGGAAATCAAGCAGATTAACGGGGTCCGGTTTTGTTGCTCGCAGGCGTTTTTCGTCGGTAAGGGAAATGATGGCACACGAGTCTATGTAGGATTGGGGAAAGATGGATACGAAAGGGCTGTAAAGCGTTTGCCTAGAGATTTCTGTGTTTGCTTTGCTGAACAGGAAAAGAAAGTTTTGAATGAAACTAACATAACCCAGTCAAACAATGTGGTACGTTATTGGTTTTTAGACGACGAGAGCGACAAGGACTGGTTATTTTTAATACTGGATTTATGCGAGGAAACTTTGAAAGAATTTGTTGATCGTAGCAGTTTGGACGATCTTACAACCAACGCACCAGATATAATTCAGCAAGTTTTGAAAGGATTGGCTGATCTGCACCGGGAACCAAACCCCATCTTACATCGTGATTTGAAACCATCTAACATCTTGCGAGACGTCCATGGTAACTGGTTGCTGGCAGACTTTGGAATCAGCCGAATTTTGACGGCAGGCTCCAGTACCCATCAAAGTGAGCAAAGGGGAACGGATGATTGGAGAGCCGTTGAATCATCACATCCTTTGAATGACACGACAGATGGTGGTAAAGTATGTTATAAGACAAAATCCGATATTCAGGTAGCGTTTTGTTGATAAATGCGGGAAAACATAATAATAATAATTACAGGTTTTATATTGCTTTCGAAACGAGGTAGTTGCGGAACTCCCATACGAATCCTGTTGGTTCACCCATAGAAGCAATACATATAGAATGCGTAAATGATCGCGAACCATTTCCCACTCTTTCGCAACGCGTGTCCATATAAATTAGCATTATTGAATTCACTAGACATGTACAAGTTCTGTGCAATAGACTTCACTGGGTATTGGACTATTGCCCCTAATAACCTTGTTTTCGCATTTTGGCATGCCGGGCACAAATGGTGATTAAATTTTAAATCTTAAATCCCTGCCCTTCGTGTACGAATGTTTCTCTTCGATCTTCATCACAATATGACGAGACCATTGCGACCAAGAGTGCAATAAACAGTACAGTCGACACTAATATTGCAATCAAACTAACAAGTTCCTAAATAAAACCGCTTTTTAACCGAAATTATTATATTTGATTCAACAAAGCTTTTTTTAAACTAGCTCGTAATATACATAAAACTTCACAGCCTTTGAAAGAAATGTTAACGCCATCAATATTCATTTTTAACTTGTAACTCAAGGAGATATATTTGGGTCGATTTATGTTTTTTCGTTAAACTCGAATGTTATGGTTTGCTGTTCGCCTAATTAATGATGTTTTCCATATGACTGCAATTTTGTTCTGTCATACTTAGGTTGCTGGTATCGTGGCATTCTACATTGTGACAAAAGGTGAACATCCCTTTGGAAAAAACCCAGACCGACTTCGCAACTTACTGCATGGTAACCCAGTTGGCTTATCTATGCTGAAAGATTCTGTCTTGAAAGATTTATTATCCTGGATGCTAAGCCACGATCCCAAAGATAGACCTTCAGCTAAAGAGGCGTTAAAACACCCTTACCTTCAGCCAGCGAAGCAGCAGTTTGAAATGCTGTGTAAAGTGGGAAACCAGCCTGAGATCAAGACACATGATATAAAATCAGATGTCGTGCGAAAGTTTAATAGCGATCGCAAAAATTGGACATTTCTGGTGAGACCCGATGTTCTGAAGTATTTATCCACCGATCCTTTGAAGGGAAAAACATTTCATTATAAGTCATCGTGGACGGACTGTTTACGACTGATCCGAAATATCAATGAACACTGGCATGACCGCCCAAGGCCGCGACCAAAAATATTCTATTTAGTTGGCGATCCCCAGGAGTTCTTCCTTAACCTATTTCCCAATCTTCCAGTCAAGGTGCACAAAACTATCAGGTCATGTGATTGGAAAGAACGCGTTGAACTGAAGGAGTACTTCATATAAGGTATCATATCTGGCTTGTCTGCGCAGAAGTTCTTTCAGAAATCTGAACCTAGCACTGGATAGTGCATATAATTTGCATAAATAAAGTGAATTGCGGATATATTGGCGTTACTGCCACAAATATACTGTGGTAGCGTTAACATACAGTAGTAGAAGAGGTTGTAACAATTTCTGTTTACTGCTGGGAAACAATATATTGTAGATAGATCAGGGCCATAGCTGACATGTATAGTTGGGTGTCGGGAAAAAATTTCCGAATGACGAAAAACATTCCCGAATCTTTCATGGCATACGAAGCCACGAAGGTGTCCAGGGCCGTCCGTTGCGAGGACTTTGCCTTGGGGGGGGGGGGCGTGAGGTTAGATGGTTGGCCCCGAGCAAAAGTTTTTGGAAATCTGAGTTTTCTAGACGGTTGGAAATGGCATTTTTAGAGTCATTCCTATCCAAAATTTAAATTTTTTCAGTACGGCCTAACAATGAAGAAAAGTAAAATAACTCCTGATCAATATGACAGTGTTACTTACAGTTTAATGTGACTAGGAAAATTTAGAAAATTTTGGAAATTTGGAGTCTCCAAAAAGGGTATTATTTGGTCATTTACCCCCAGCCCACGACGCGTCTGGACGTTTTTAATTAATTAATTGGCCGATTGGTAACTCTAATTCTGATTCATAACACACAGTTCCTTTTTATGCCATGATAATTACCTGAATTTACCTGAACATCTGCTGGAAATTTACTTGAAATTACTCATATATGAGCAATTATTGGGGGTTGTTGTTGGTTTCTTGAGAGAATTGAGTCAATTATTGACCAAAAACAAACAAAAATACGCGTATTCTACGCATAGACATATTACAGAAGTAATAAACCGAAAAACATTTACCGATTTACGATTTGTAAATTGTTATATCCATGTAAATGCCATGATTTCGTAAATCAGTTTATACTGGCAATATATACAATTCTATAATATTATTTCTGTTTAACAACTAAACTTTTGTTATACTACTATTGCCGTAATTTTCCGAATGGCCAACCCGATTTTCCGAATATGTTAATTCTGAAAAAGTTGGGGAGTTAACCACTC